CCATGCGGAATTTGTGGTGAACAATGATTGTCAGCGACTGGGTTTTTGGAGGGAGCAGCGGTTAAGTTTTGTAGCACAACAACTGAAGTTGGTTTGAAAATGAAAGTAATAAATACAAATGGAGAAATTATTGAATTTTGGAAAATTGTGCTGTAACGTAGAGTATGATGAAAATAAAAATATCAAAAACACTGAATAAAAAACTCTTCCGGGTTTCATGGCTTCCCCTGTCATTTATTTCACCAGTCACTATTCATATCACATCATAATTACTAGTTTATGAATACCATTCCAGTTGAAGGCACTCTAGTTCTGCTATAATGCATGAGAAACAAAATTATCTCATCATTATAAATATTGATACTTCTAGTGAAAATGTGAGTAGTAGTGTATTTGAACTACAACGTATGTGCTATATTCGGATCATTATCAGAGACATGTGACATTGCTAGATTTACTATTTTCTTATTATCTTCCTCTCTTAGGGTGTCCAGGCCGGATTTTTTTTGCATCGTCGATAATTCATTCCCCTCATTTTCGATATGTTTCGTTGTTTCCGAAGTGGCAGTCTTCACGTTTTCGAAAGAGAGTGAGAATTCATAATTTAATCCCATTCCTTCAAGTTTTGTCTATGGAAAAAAAGAGTGAATGATTTCATCGTGATGATTTTTTTTAAAATCCTGGGTTCCTTTGCGACCGCAGTCTATTTCGGGTTGATTATGAAAATATTGATTCATAGATTTTCAATAATTGTTTATACGATGAATCATCGGAAGTAATAACAGCGTTTTTGCTGTGGTTTTCCCGTTTTAATGTTGTGGTCAACCAGCGAACAAGATGGCATTCCATATTACAATCATAAATCATACGGGCGACACGGCTAATTAATTCCCTTGAGCACGAACATTTTCAGCGAAGAGCGAGCTCGATAATTGTGCGGGCCGAAAGCCGTAATAAAGCCGGACGTCCAAATTATATTGCATCATCCGGCTCCTTAATAGAATATCGCAAAACGGCGCGGCGGCCCGCGCCCGCCCTTGATCAAACATTCCCTGCGCGTCCCGCGCGGCGTCGGCGCGGGCCTCGTTACACGCGTAACATCCCGGCGCGCGACGCTTACATCGCGATTGTGGGGCGTAAAGTGGTCGCCGAGGCGGCGGTTAGCGCGGCGCGTGGCCCGGCCGGATGGCGCAAGCGGCGGCCCCCAGGCTCCTCGGAGCACCGGGAGTGTTCAGAAGGTGGCGAGGAGAGATAGGGTTTTGGGTTGGGGAGGTCTCGAAACTGTAGGGTGGCTGCGAGAAGAAATTGGAGGTTACTTGCTGTTTTGGCGAAGATTCCACTCGTGGATGGTGCATGTTCTTGTTTCGTAATTCGTGCGATGCAGTTACTATTTGGTCGCTGTGTGGCATTAGTGGTATTGTCTTTGATATTGGAGGAGGTAGATTTTAGGAGGTGCTGACTGTATGGATAGGTCTCGAAAATTTTGCAAAACCAACGATAGCCTTGTCTACAGCGAACGGTATTTGTGGGAGATGGGTTGCTGATCAAAGAAGCAACATCAGATGGGGTAGAGGCGTCGATTTAATTGCATTAGCCATATCTGCTACAGGATTGGTAGCAACGATATTCGGAGTGGTTTGGGTGACGGTTGTGGTAGTTGGATTGTCCAATGACGTGCAAGGAAAGGCAGCATTAGCAGCTCCCAGGTGACAGAAGCGGCGGCAGACGGCAGTGGCGACAACGCGCAATGTCAAGACGACGTTTGCCTATGAGGAGCATATAATATGATTTATTTAACCATACACTTGACGTACATAAGCAGTTCAGTTTCATCCAATCGGGAGCTTGAACATCCCCGCAGTGACGTCACGGTAGCAATATGTGTCCTCCCGATTGGTTGAAACCGCAACATCTGATTTACGTCAAGAGAACGACTAAATAAATCGTACTATAGACACTGTTGCTGTAGCGAGATGACGGTTGCACCGGCGGCGACGGCAGTGGCGCTTCGGTGGCAGCGGGAGGCCCGTGGTGTCGTCGTGGCCGCGGGCGCGACCGGTTTTTGCGTCGCCCGGCGCGGGGCTGCAACGCGGTTGGTCGCCGCCGCGTCCGGTCACGAGCGGCGCCGTCGCCTGCGCCGCGCCGCCCGCAGGTGCCCGGAAGTGGTCCCGACGCCCCCCTCCCCCCACCCCTCTTGACCGCTCCGCCCCTGGGGAGTCTGCCCAGCTTCTCCTGGGCGCGGAGGCCTTTCTGTGAGGACGGTTATATGACTGCGTTACATGTAATCGTAGCTTTACGTGGCTATTGTTTTTAGCTCGTAGTACGAGCCTGGTGGTTGTCTAGTTTTCGTTTTGGATCTTTACAGATCTGATGATGTAACTCGTAGTTATTTTATATCGCCTTCTCGGTCACCTCGAACTCCTTTTTAACGACTTCTAACTTCTTATCATTTCTACCTCCCTTCCTGTCTATCTCTCATGTCTCATTCATTCTCTCTCTTTGCCCTTCTCAGACTCTCTACTCTCTGTCTCTCTCTCCCTCTCCTCCCTCTTTCTCCCTCCCTTTGTTTTCTTCCGGCGAGGATCTTGTATTTCATTTCAAGTTGCTTTATTTTATTCCTTTTACTTATATTTCGGTTATTTTTTTCTCTATTTCCTTTTATCCCCTTAACCAACCGGCCATCTCAGGTGTGGTTCTTTGTCACGGTGCAGTCTCCGCATCTGTAAGTCACCTTGGCCAGGTTTTCACCTCACGTGCCGTGCATTCAGTGGTCCAACTCCTCCTTCTTCCTTTTGTTTTTCTTTGTTCATCTCGCGAGATGCGCTGTTTCCTTACCCCGGGGCCCTTCCGCCGCCGCGGCAGCGCCCCGCTTTGCGAATCCGCTCGCAAGCCACCTGTTCCGAAGCCACGACGCGCCCCCGTGCCCGAGTCTTTTATTTCATTACGTTCCGCCCCTCCCCCACCCCTTCGCCCCCACGCGTCGCGTGTTTTCTTCGTGCCGCGCGAGAAGCGGCGGCGTTTAATTAATTTATTGGCCCGCGCTCCCCCCCCCTCTCTCTCTCTCCCGACCGCTGCGGTGCGTCGACTTATTTTTTCTTTTGGCTGCGGCCAATAGGCGTCGACGCGAAATCTTTACGAATGTATTTTCAGTGTCGCCAACTTTTGGTTTGTGCCCGTCCTTACATCTCCCCCGAGGAGCAAAAAAAATGGGAAGAGTCGGAGAGATAGGAGGAGGCGGAGAAGAAGAAGAAAAAAAAAGGAGCATCCTAATACTTCCTGTTCTCTCCCTCTATTCCTTTCTCCCGAAAGTTTTTGCCTGCTACAACTCCGTTCTTAATCAGAAACGGATTTTAATCCCGCTTTCCGCGAAAACTATAAAAGTTTCTTTGGGGGAAGTTTGTTTTGACTGAGTATTTCTTCGCCTGGAGTTGGTCCAGATTCTCCCTCGGCGCCGCGGCCGAGTCGACTTCGGAGTCTCGACTTATGATAATGGCTGTAGAGACGTACCCGCGGTGGTGCGGTGGAGGCGGCAGCGGCGGCGTCCAATATCGTTCCTTTCTGGCGAACCGGTCGAACGGTTTGAAACGCGTTCTCTAAATGTTTCTGCGTTCCGCGTGCCAGCAGGCGACGTGGGAGGGGTAAAAGTGTGCGTTGCGGGTGAGGAACGAGAGTCAGTGCGGAGAATCGCGAATCCGAGACCCATACTTCACGCCCTGCGTCTCCGTTCTTCAATTTTTTTCGGCCGAGGGGCCGTTTTTGTGCCTCGAGATTCGTTCGCGCGCCTTCTCGCGAACGGGCGCAAGAAAGAAGTACGTCTTGGAGTCGGCTCCTTTTGAATTGAATTATACGACCTTTTTACCTCTGTAGAAATTGGTCTTCGCTGGCGGTTCCGACGGCGCGGTCGGACGTTCTGTAAATTGATGGAATTAATTTAGTTGACTGATGTTGACGCGGAGAGCATTCATCGTCATTTCACAGGAACACAAATTAATTTCACGCAGATTACTGAAATTGGTCCACTTGGCAGAGACAGAAAATATTTTTTTGCAGGCGCTCCGCCGCTCTGGAAGCGGAGCCTCTTAATGTCATTAGCGAGACGATCACGGCGGCGAGCGAAAGCGCGAACGGCGTGTGACGTTCGTCTGTTCTTTGTTGCAGGAGAGGAGCAGGTCCAAAGGTTCCTGGGCAACGAGTCGCACAAAGACCACTTCAAGCTCTTGGAGAAGGACCAGAACTCGCTGCTCGTGGGCGCGCGGTAAGTGCTGCCAGCCTCCGCTTGAGGCGCCACTGGCTGCTTTCTGCGTCTTCCTTTTCGGTCCGCTGACCGCCGAGTCGGGAGTTTCGCTGATTCAGCGGCTCTCGTTCTGTACAGTGCCGTTTCCGGTGCAGTTCGCAGATACTCGAAATCGTGGAAATGAGTTCTCTACGAATTCGACGCGGTTGTTTCAGCCGGAGGCTTGTTAGAATCATTGAGATAGCTGATCAAATTTCTTCAAATTAACTTCAGTGAGTCGTTTTGTGTTGCGACGTATTGGACAACTACCAGAAAATTCAAGTTAACCTCATCGTCCCTTTGCAAAACATGAGACGATAATATTAGTGATACAATATCTTTCTTCCATTCTATGTTGCATTCAGTCATTGCAGTTAAAAGCTAGATAAGGTTTATTGAGCTATTGATGTTTAAATTATGCGTATTCAGGTTTAAATATAAATTCTAATTATATGAAAATATATTTACGTACAATGTCTGTGCAGCAATTCACTTGTTTTCTACAAACTTCTTAGCAAAAAAAATCATGTAAGAGACAATTGATACATAGTTTAAAAGCCATTGCTTTGTAACCTTCTGGCCTAATCAAGATCTGCGTGGACAATTAAGTTGCATTAGCTTTCGCCACGCACGCGACCGTCATATCCTCCGCATCAAGCTGTATTACAGTCTGCTCACCTCTGGCACTTAAACTCCTCTCGCAATCAGCGTCACAAAGCCTTTCAACCGCAGCATCCTGTGTCCGCGTCATTTGTATGTCACCGGCTGCAGCATCGAGCGGTCGCCGCCGCCGCCGCCGCCGTCCATCGCGGCTGCCATTGGCCTCGCCCGCCGCAGTCACACGTCGCCATCGACGCCCGCTATTCTGGGAAGCCAATCGCATTATGCTGTGGAAGCCGCGACCGCGGAGCGCCCCGCGTCCCCCACGCCACGCGCCCGGCGCCGCATTGTGCGGCTGAGGCATCTCCGCTGCGCCCCACGCACTCCCCGGTGGCGGTGGCGGTGGCGTGGAGCGCCCTGCGAGCAATGACTTGTCGCAATTTGTCCTCCTCCGCCCCCGCACCCCTGCGGACAATCGCTCTCTCGCTTGCGATTGTTCCGTCCTCGGGTTCTTGCTGTGGCCGCCCAACCCCGCGCTAGTCGCTGCAGAGCACCAGATCCTCTCTGTAACTGCTATCCACTCTACCGCCCCTCACCTCTTTCTTCTTGTCATTTCTCTCTTACTTAACGCACTTATCTCGTCTCTCTTTGCCCCTCTCGCTAATCTCCCTTCCTCTCCCCACTCCATATTTATTTATTTCCCCTTTGTATCCTTTTTCGCTCCCCCGCACTCACCTCTCTACA